CTTAGCTGTAGAGGGCAGTGTCACTGGCCCTCATATGTGGGATCCGAACCGGGGCCCTCTGGCGTCCCAAGCGAGTTCTTAACCATCGCGCCACTTGGCTTGCTCCTCCAATGATTTCTTAATGTGGCATTCTGTTTTGTTCCCCTAGTGAACAATTACCATTTTCTTCCATTAATTTAGTGTAGCTCAGATGTTTGGAGGATGAAAAATTTACACATTTGGTTATGAGTAAATCCTAGACAGAAGCTAGTAAGAATCATACATCTTTGACACACAAATGTTCTCCTTTTCACACACAAGTGCACACATGCACACACATACAGTCAGTTTCATCTCCTCAGTGCATCACCTCTTCATGCCATTTTTTAGATGAAAAAAAGCAAATGAAGAATGTGGACGTCTGTATTGGAATTGGCCAAAGGATTTGGAGTTAAATGAAAAATTTCAGGTGTTTTTAGTAATTTGATGGTTTGCAAGTTATTACTAAGCCAGAGACCTCAAGCCTTTTCTTCTCCAAAGATGTGGTATTTCACATGATTCTGGCACCTTTTCTCTAAGAATCTCTTAAAACCCTATCAAGCAATGTACCAGACTACCAATTGGGAAAATGAAATGAATTCATACTTGCACCATTAATAGGAGTTGGAAATGCAATATTCAGTTGTGATTTAGTATGCAGAGGGAAATGTAAAAATGCTGAAAAATAATCCAGATAATTCAATCTTGAAATATGTTTTCCTGAGATAGTCACATGCCCATAACAAAAAAATAATTTTTTTTTTCACTTGAATCACCTTGTTAAAGCCAACCCCATTACTGCATCCCTTTGAAGTTGGGCTCTGTGTGAAAAGGCTCTGGGCACACAGCCATGCTTTTGGAAGTATCATGACTTGTATCTCCATCTAATCAAGTTCATCTTCTTGGAGAGAATATATGAAAGGTTTTATCTTTGCATCTACATATCTCAGCAGCCTTCTCATCCTCTTAAACCACCGCGCCTTATTTATTCAGCTCACAAATAACTGAGCAGTGTAGAACTAATAGCATTCTGATGGTAAATAGTGTTTTCCCACATTATGACGCTAGATAAGTTACCTGAGACAACTTTTCAGAAGCCAATTTCAGTATAATGGTTTAAACCAAAATCCAATGAAAGGAAGTAATTTTTTCACATAATGNCCGCGCTTCTCGCCCCGCCCCGCCCCGCCCCGCCCCGCGACCGTCTCTCTGCCCAGCTACGGGTCGGCCACGCGAAGGGAGAGCCTGGGCGGTGGGTTTGGCGCGAGGGTGATTACCTTACCTAGCCTCACCCCCTGCCACCCGAGGCAGGAGGAAGCAGCGGTGAGGACCGCGGATGGCATGGCAGAAGCTTCGGACCAGCGTAGGCCAGGCCCTGCAGCGGGGGAGCCGCTGCAGCAGCAGCACGTCGCAAGCCAGGTCTTCCCCGAGCGGCTGGCTCCGGGGAAGCCCCAGCAGGGGTTCCTCTCCAGCTTCTTCACCAACAATCAGAAGTGTCAGCTCATGCTCCTGAAGACGCTGCAGACAAGTAGGAGCTGACCCGGAGGCTGGGGGTCGGGCGCGGGGTGTCTGAGACCCGGCGGGCAGGGAAAAGCCTGGGCGACACTCGGCCGGGGGGGTTCCGGGTTCAGTCTCAAGTGCGGCTGGGCCGAGTTCAGACACCTCAGCGCAGAGACTAGGCGGATTCGGCATTGTGGGAGTGGAGGTCTGGGCCTCAGTTTCCTTCTCAGAGGAGGCGCTGAGGCCCCTTTCGGCACTATTGTGGAATGCACGAGGCATAGGGCTAGGAGTTTGCCCTTTTCTGTCACACTCACTGGTCTGCTAGATCCTCTGAGTTCTTATGTAAGTTATGCAGCAATACGGGGACGTTAGCGTCTGGGTGAAGCAGACTTTTTTAAAGAGCCACGTTAATTAGGGCATACTTAACAGTTGGCAGTGCAAAAACGACAGTTTTGCAAACCTACCCTTCGATGGAAGGGGTCCTTAATGTTCATACCTGGGTGGGCTTCAGAGTGTTAGAAACCCCTGAAATGCACTGCAAAATCGTGTGTGAGTGGACCTACCTGCAGTTTTTGGAAGAGAGTTTATAGTTTCATCATTTTCTTAAAGACGCTCACAACGCAAAAGGGTTAAGAGCCACTGTTGTGGTTTAAATAAGGACACAGCTACCTGCCTAAGTACGAGTTTACCTCGAGCCCCAGGGACATTGCACTAGAGATTTCTTAACTCCTTTACATTGACATAGACTCCCTAACTTTACTTCAGGTATATTTAAAAAATCAAAGTCTTAAATGTACTTGTCCCAAAGCAAGGCTACTCTTTCAAAGCTGACCAGTCAGAGTTCAAAAATCAACCACCCAAAGACTTTCCTACTTTCTTGAGATGACCAGTATATAGAGAGTCAGAGGAGGTGGGAAGACGAAGGAGAGTAGAGAGAATAAGGACACTGTATTTACTTTGCAAATATGTATTGAGTACTTCCTAGGTTCTGGTGTGCGA